AGACTGTGCAATCTCTTTGGCCGAGCCCCAAGTAAAGCTGTCAATCCTGACGAGGCTGTGGCCATTGGAGCTGCCATTCAGGGAGGTGTGTTGGCCGGTGATGTCACAGATGTGTTGCTCCTGGATGTCACTCCCCTTTCTCTGGGTATTGAGACCCTGGGAGGTGTGTTTACCAAACTTATTAACAGGAATACCACTATTCCAACCAAAAAAAGCCAGGTAAGAGCCTCCCCCTCCCTACCTTGTAACAAGAGATACTAGGGATGTGATTGCAGCCACTTGGGGAGCTTTTCCTAGGAAACTTCACTTTTTGTTTTGCAGTCCATACTAGTTGAATGTGGATGTCTTTTGTTCTCTTCTTTGTTCCTGGAAAAGTTCTCCTTACCTGTCAGCCAGTGGTGATGATTGCAAGGAAGGTATTAATAGTCTGTCCTTTGCAGGACTGAAATAACTTGTCAAAAGGAGCATCATTAGGGACTAAATTCCCTGTACTCTTCTATTCTCAAAGGCAATAAAAAGAATGGCCTGGCCAGGACTGGGGAATGTGCTTGTCTTATAGGTGAATGAATGATGGGTGTCCTGAGACACTAAACAGGGCTATTTGGACAGTGGCTTAGTCTTGGATTAAGAATTATTTCCTGACTTTCCCAATTTTGATATTTTTCTGAAAAACTGGCTATTGCTGTATTTGTGCAGTGATGTATTGCCAACACATCATTCTGAAGAAAAGTATGGTAACTTCCTGTGACAGCCCAAAATACATGTTCTATCTTGGACCTTTTTACCCAGATAAGAATATTTCAACATCATGTATCTTAGCTCCTTCTCGTGGGGCCTTCTGTGCCCAAATGCTGCATCTTTGTAAAATGCATTTGCTGTGCTAATCCTACTCCTTTTCCCTGCAAAGACATAAACCTTTGTTCTGAAAAGAGTGAAAATAGTATACATTAGGACTCTTTCAGTGTTGGGATGTGAATTTCTTTCTTTGGCTTATACTATGTGTAATCAGAATGCCAACCCAAAAAGTTTCTTTCTCCTTAGGTGTTTTCTACAGCTGCTGATGGTCAGACTCAAGTGGAGATTAAAGTATGTCAAGGTGAGAGAGAGATGGCCGGAGACAATAAACTTCTTGGACAGTTTACTCTGGTAGGTGTTGAGAATCCTAAATATGCTCTTTATTCTTTTTTACTGTAAAGTTAGACTATATTCTAACCCCAGATATAACACAAACTACTGAAACACAGTCTGTATTAACATAGTGCACAAATTCTGCAACTGGATACCCATGGCTTCAGTTTTTCCCTGAAAGCCTTGCTTGTTCCTTAGGAACTTCAAAACTGTTCATATGCAGTGCTAATTAGGAGAAACTCCTAGTTACTAATTTAAGAGACATATTATTAGCTTCTAGTTAGCACTGCTATTGGTTCTTAGTGAGATGAACAATGATAGTTTGTTCTTATTCACTGTAACCCCAGGTACATACAGCTATTAAGATTATTTGCTATAACCAACGGTAACTGGTACGAGCCCTATTTATTTCAGGTAACAAACTACTACCTGTACTTACACACTTGTGTTTTTGTGCAAGCTATCATTTATTCCTCTCTGGAGCCAAGCAATTTGTACCCCAGAAGACCATATAGGTTTGGAAGTAGAGCACTGGATCTCTTTGTGAGAGCTTATTCTAGATTTATTTATTTATTTTAGATTGGAATTCCCCCAGCCCCTCGTGGAGTCCCTCAGATTGAAGTTACATTTGACATTGATGCCAATGGAATTGTACATGTTTCTGCCAAAGATAAGGGTACAGGACGTGAGCAGCAGAGTAAGTATTTTTATTTATCAGACTGTGAGAATGAGGTGAAGGACCTTAGAGTTCCTTTCTGTTGGGAACAAGACCCTCAAGGTCATACAAGTCTTTTCTCTCAATCTCAGGGTTGCCCCTTTTTTCCTGTTATGAGATTCACATTAATAGATGTGGTGTTTATTTGGCCAAACAGGCACTGAGCCTCTGGATCGCTCAGCTAAAGTTTTGGTAGGCAGGCAGGATAGTTGTTTGTTCTTTGTAGATATCAGACCCTTGTTTTCCTTTTTATTATATTACAACGGTATTCCTTGTCATAATTCATATCAAGATTGCCTATTCTGTGCAGAAGTAGTTTCTTAATACAGCAGAGAAGAGATAAAATTTTACCTAGAAGATGACAAAATGCTTTCTTTTCACTAGTTGTGATCCAGTCTTCTGGTGGGCTAAGCAAAGATGATATTGAAAATATGGTTAAAAATGCAGAGAAGTATGCTGAGGAAGACAGGAGAAAGAAGGTGAGTACTTTCTGCTTTTTCAGTTGAGAGGTGAAAATGGGAGTTCAGACATGTGTCCCTGATCTTCTGTCTTCTTTTACCCTCAATCTATCCCTTCTCCCCCTTTGCTCATAACATGTGTGGAATGCCTTTCTTATTCTCAGTATTTCCATATTCTCATGTTATCAATCCAGCCAAAATCTCTTCCAGATATCCCAGACTACCTTAGACCAAGGCGATTTCTCCCCTTTACTGTTTTTACTCTGTAACTATGCAGCAGTCAGCATGTTGCCTTGCTTAGTGAGGACCTTCAGCCATCTGGTTGACTGAGAAGTCTTCATTTATACTAAATTTTTAATTTCTCTTAGGAACGAGTTGAAGCGGTTAATATGGCTGAAGGAATCATTCATGACACAGAAAGCAAAATGGAAGAATTCAAGGACCAATTGCCTGCTGATGAGGTGAGCCCTCTTTTATAATAGTTGTTTGTTTCTCTGTGTGGGTCTTGATAGGTATTTAGTTTTAAAAAAAAAAAAATGTTTCCGAGTATTACTGCTACATGTAACAAGATAAGAAACCCTGAAAAAGTGGAGGTTTGGTTTTGTTTTTAAGTGCAACAAGCTAAAAGAAGAGATTTCCAAAATGAGGGAGCTCCTGGCTCGAAAAGATAGTGAAACTGGAGAAAACATAAGGCAAGCAGCATCTTCCCTTCAGCAAGCGTCATTGAAGCTCTTCGAAATGGCATACAAAAAGGTACAAGGACTGAAAGGTGTTTTGCTCCTAATTTAATATTATAACTGCTCTTGATTACTCACTAATGGCTCCCTGCATAGCCATTTGTAGAACTGGGAGTACTGGAAATACCCTTCCTGCCTTTTTGACTCTACTTTGGGAGTCAGGGCGAGGTCAAAGGGAAGGAGTCAAAAACCACCAGTAGTGTACAAGGAGGGAGGGAGAGTGAAATAGGCAGGATATGACTGCTTCATTTTTTTAGTTCATCTGAAAGCAAACTGTCAGCCTTAACTTTAAATGAGTGGCTCTCAAATATTTTAACAGATGGCATCTGAGCGAGAAGGCTCTGGAAGTTCTGGCACTGGGGAACAAAAGGAAGATCAAAAGGAGGAGAAACAGTAATAGCAGTAAACTTTGGAGCCAAAAGGACAAGGTTATGACGCTTGGGAGTGAAGAGACTTCCTGAGCAGAAATGGGCAAACTTCAGTCTTCTACTGTGTTTTTGCAGTATTCTATATATAATTTCCTTAATGTGTAAATTAGTGCTTGTTAGCTAATGATCACTTAATGAGTGATAATTCCAACAGTGCAAAGTTCACAATGTTATGTCCCTACTCTATCATTTTTCAGCTACACATAAAAGGGGGGAAGATGATTTCTTGATCATTAGACAACATTTTTTTGTTCTGAAGTAGCCATATTTTCAACGGGTGAAACCATCTCACACACAATGAAGGTAGTCCGAGACCTGGAATGAGACTATATGAAGATGAGATACTTCAAGTTAGCTGAGTATTGCTTACCAACCTGTGTGTGTAAATGAGATTCTTCAACTGAGGCCTTGCAAGGCAAGCCAGCTGTGCCACATTCAGAGGTAGAGCAGGGTAAGCTAGATCAGTGGAAAACTAAGCTAGTTATTTATATTAGGTACAGCTTATAAAACAAGGTAATGTCTCCTAATTTTCGTAAGGCATACTTTTCTAGCTACCTTCTGGCCTTTGTCTGGCACCTGTATTCTTGATTGTTCTTTTTGATCCATTCTGGATTTTTTTAAAAAATAAATATGAAAAGCATCTCGATCTCTTATTTGTGAGGGGTGAGACTCTGAGACTTAGAGAATATAACATGTATCGTATTCCCCAATTCCCTGACCTAAGTACCTCAGGTGAAATACAGGATTTCTAACTCCTTAAAAATACCAATTCAAGTTTTGGAAGGGCTGGTATAATGCAGTAATAAGCATTGTCACCAAGGACAAATCTGGTTTAGAGGTTTTCCCCCTTCTTGTAGCCCTGTATGTCTTCGGAATGTTAAAACAGTCTCTAGATCTCCAGCATGAAAACCAAGGCTACTATTTGCAGATTGCTTTCAGCTCTAAGTAGCTTATATATTGTCCAGTAGTAAGTCCTACGGTATGAGGTTAGTGGCTCAATATCAGGAACTCACTCTTTTCTATACTTCTGCTCTTTCATCCTCAGTGAGTCCCCTTGTCCCAAATTCTGATGTAATTCTAGTTATTACATGCTAACGACTTCAGAAGCAGACAGGCGACTGCATCTTAGATCTCATTTAAGTCTTAATTACTTCCCAAATGTTTTCCAACAGACTTCTGCTCATGTTTCATGGATTACTATCACATGCCATGCCTAAAGGAATCTGTTAATCAAGAACATAGGCTTAGTCTCTATTAGATGTAACTCCTCCTTTATTATATTTTGTGGTGCTATCTAGAATTGACATTCATATATACTAAAAAAATCAATACATTGCTGTAATGTGAAGATGTTGACACAATAATTCCTGGAAAATTGTTCATTAACACCGACGTAAATACTTAAGATTCATGTAAAAAAATAAGTTCTAGGCTCAAGTGTTTAGCCACATGAACATTTGGTGGGAACCTTATAGAATGTGTAGTAATTCTTTATGAAGGATTGTTTTGTGGTTTGTGGTATCTCTGCTTGGCCCTTGCCCACTAAACACATCCAGTGTCTCCTAATCATTGTGATAACAGCCCTTCAAAGATTTCCAGAACATCCCCATTAAGTACTGGCTTACATAATTCAAGACTCATCCTTGGAATCAGGGAGAAGGAGCCAAGCACTCCTTGAACAAAATGGGTTTTGTTAGGGAGAAGAGCTGCTTGGATAGATACCACAACTACTGTCTCAAACTGCCCCAAGTGTAGCAAACATAGAGCAGTATTCTAGTTACCAACCAATAAAACACTGGTGCAATTAGCCTTGAAAGGCAAAAAGATATTTTTTCTTCAAATGCAGTTTCTCTTTTGTGCTGACAAGTGCTTGACAGGTCCCAAAGGAACTTTGGATTTCCCTTCCTAAGTGGTCTTGCCAGTTAAAGGAAATGTGCTGCTTATGATTGCCCAAACCAAAAAAACCTGGAGTGAACAAATCTCAGTAAACTTCAAAGTACATCCAGAAACACAATCCCTACTCCTACCACTTTGTATAAATTACTTCTTTGATTATTCCAAGTAGTCTTCCCCACTTAAAATTATACACCTTGCTACTATGGTGTTTTCCCATAGCAGTCAGCAGTCAGAGGCCTACTTACAGGCTTCATGTAATTGGGCCTCTCACTACCTCTTTTTTCCTACCCTCCAACTATTTCACCTTGTGATCTCTCCCCTAGATTTTACTTGGTCACCACTCACTTTTCCATAAGGTTTTGAAATTTCATAAAATAGACCCCTCCCCAAGTCATTGTTTCCTATCCTTACCCTACTCTTTCTCCATGGCAATGTATTTGTCCCACTTAATTTGTCTTTGTCCTTCCCCTCACTGTTACGGTCTGAACGTCCCCAACCCCTACCAATCCATGTTTGGAATCCTAACCTCTAAGATGATACTAGGAGGTGGGGGCTTTGGGAGGTGATAAGTCATGAGGGTGGAAACCTCATGAATGAGTAGTGCCCTTGCAAAAGAGGTTCCAGAGATCCCTCATGCCCTTCCACCAAGTGAGGATACAAAGAGAAGTCTGCAACCTAGAAGAGGGGCCTCACCTAACCGTGCTGGCACCATGATCTCAGATTTCAGCCTCCAGAACAGAAATTTGTAAGCTATGCAGTCTGTTAATTTGTTCCAGTAGCCCAAAAGGACTGACAGCCACCATGTAAACTCCATAAGGCCAGTATTTGTTTTTTTGCTCACTGCTATTTCCCAGCATCTAGAATAATGCCTCATAAGAACTTGAATCTTTTTGTCAAATTAGTGACTCTCTCCCACTGCCCCCAAACTCTGGGTAGATTAATAAGGTCCCTTGTTTTTTTAAGTTTGTCTAAACTAGACTCATCTGTGAAGAGTACTAGCGGTAACTTGCCAAAGCCAGAAACTAGAACCTTAATAGTAAAGATAAAAATTCCTAACTAGAAAAAGAAGCCAAGGTGAAATTGATAGTAATGTTTAGAGGCCTAAAAATGTGGCCCAAGGTTTTTCTGGCCTAGCAATGTGGGGTGGGAGGTAGGAATGACCAGAATAAATTTGCAACTCTATTTTACACTTTCTGGCTAGAGTCCAATTCTGTTGCTACTCAATCTATGTGATCCTGAAAAAAAATTATATTGCTATTTACCCAGGTAGAATTAACTTTTTCCTCAGCTTTTTATTTTGAAAGTTTCAAACCTACTCTTAGAGAAAAACTATAAGAATAGTATAATGTACACAAACACATACACCTTTCATATAGATTCAATTTACATTTTGCCACATTTGGACTCACATTTGCTCTCGTGCACACTTTCTCTATATGTTTTCTGAAAATGATACTCCAACCTAAATATCGCAGTACACATCTTCTAAGAACACTTTCCCCAAAACTATTAAATTAGACAATTTAATACTGATATAGTAATACTATTATCTAATACATAGCCCATTAAAAATTTTTCCTAGTTGTCTCAATAATATCTTTTAACTTTATTTTTCATCTAGAGTCAAATCAAAGATCATACATGGCATTTAATTATATCCTTTTATCTAAGAATAGTTCTTTTGCCTTTTTTGTCTTTTCATGATACTGATATTTTTTAAGGGTATAGGCCATTCGTTTTGCAGAATGACCCTTTGGATTCACTCAATTTCCTTATGTTCAGAGTCACGTTCACATTATTGGTAGGAATACTACATAAGTGTTGTGTCTTTATCAATACATCAGTTACCAGGGAGACTTAAGATGTCAGTTTTATGCTTTGCTCCATACTTCTTCATTATAAAGAAACCTTTAATAAGTAATCTGTGGAGGTGGCTTCGTTTTTTTAGTATAACATTTATACTAGAAATTCTATCTATAACAGCAAGTAAAAAAATAAAATTTACAGATGGTACATGAATAGATGGGGAATGAAGAGAAAACCCAAATTTTGGAAATAAACTGCTTCAAGCAAAGACCTTTCACTATTTCAGATACCACTGTGACTCCATTCTCCAGTCCTAAGGCTGCTTTTTGAGGGCTGTGTCTCCTCCTTTCCTGTCCTCCAGTATCAAAAAGAACAACGAAATTAGTGAAAGCTCTAGACAAAGGTGCTATAGGGTGACCTACATTACTCAATCTGTGAACAGCATGAAGGATGTAATTCAGCAATTACAGAAAGAACCATTGAAACAGTCATTTCAGTAAGCCAAAAACAACTGAATATCAGCAATTTCACATGGTTAAACAATACAATGCTGCATCATCAAAGCCACTTGCAGTAGGTCAGGAAACATAAATATATCTTTACACTAAAGAGAACGCTGCAGCTAAACCAGCCTTTAATAATTACAAGCTTCAACTCGAGTGAGATCAGAAGAGAGAAAATGTTCCACCTAAATCACAGGCTCTTCAACAGGTTCTTGTAGCCCCTGATTCAGAGTGTGAGGATTTAAGGCAATGGTGATGGGGGATGCAGAGTCCACATGAGTGACTTCACGAGGTCCATAAACCACTGATTATAAAATGTAAGACTCAATTTTTCTAGGGAAATGGTCCATTGCTTTTACTGATCTCTTGAAGGGATCTGTGACCAAAAAATGTGTTAAGAAGCATAGATTTCCTAAATGTGAAATCAATCTACCTTACTGGTCTAACTGGCTTAAATACAAGTCATACCCTCCTAGTTCCTGTCCTGCTTTGCCATCTCAATCTTGCCTTTGCATTTCTTAAGCATTGTTGGTCCATGAAGCCTTCCCCACTCAGCCCACACTGTTTCACTCAAATTCTTACACTCTTATTTTTCAACTTTTTAATGTTCAATTCAGAAACTTCTTATATTCCTCCACCTTCCTTTGGATCATTTTAAAGCAAATTCTAGAAATCAAAATTTTACTCTTAGTATGTACCTCTAAAAGATTATTCTACAATATATCATGACCACATCTAAAAAATGTTAACAAGTTATTATTAAGCAAACACTGGAATGTTCAAATTTTCCTAATTGTTTCATGACTTTTCCAACTGCTAAAGAGTCAGGAACCAAATAAAGGTCATGCCCTATACTAGCTGATATGTGCCCTAAGGAGGACAGGAAAGGAGGAGACACAGCCCTCTCTTTCAAACTATAGGTTTCACTGCCTCTCTCTCTTTTTATAATTTTTGTAAGAGTTTGAACCAAACTGACGACATATGCCAAGCAGGAATATCTCAAATGCTCCCTAGGTTTCTTCCCCCTGCTTTGCAATTTCTTTGTTGAGGAAACTAGGCCACTGGTCCTGTAATCTCCTACATTTTACATTATACAGATTGCACTCCTATGTCATTTAGCATGTTCTTCCAGCCCTGCTTGATCTGAGTCAAATTCAGTTTTTGACAAGAATAGATGGTATGTACTTCCATCAGTGGATACATAACGCTGGTTGACTCTACTGTGATGTTAGCAGCCACTAATGAGCATTACCTAGATCACTAATTTCATTAAAAGTATACTACTCTACTTCTATTTTTTCTTCATTTTTCAGCTAGAATACCTCTATAATGAGAAACTTTCCCTAGGTACCTAGTTACCCTGAGGTACAGTTCATATAGGAGAGATTTCTTTACATACTTGTTTTTAGAATGAGTTGGTTCTATAGTATTAATGAAAA